TCTGATGGCGCCGCTGCAATGGTCGTTGCTGGAGAGGAAGCTATCAAGGAGCATAACTTGAAACCGCTTGCTCGTGTTGTCAGTTATGCTACTGTTGGTAAGTATTGTCAAAATGCTTACATTGAGTTTATAATTTGCGACCCAGAGAATTGGCGCTTTAGGAGAATCGGTATGTTGAGAGAACCAACTTTTCAGGGTATGGAGGTTTTGGGCGAAAAGGAAGGTTTGGGTATCAGTCAGTCCCGGTTGCTAACGTTTTGAGCACCGATTGATGCCAACACTTTCCTTTTCGCTCAACGCCGATTCTCCCAACCACCTATTTTCTCAGAATGCCAGATCCATACTTCCTTCCCGCGCACTCGCCCTGATTGCCGATTTTCCCTAGTTGCAAAAGGAGAGCGTAGTCTCACATAGCATGTGTTGCATAATTCGCCACCTAAGGCTGCGATCCAACGATTATGGGCATCGGACCAGCACCCGCCATACGTCAGGTACTATCACAGACTGGACTGAAGATTGACGACATCGATATCTTCGAGGTTTCTTTTTGAATTTTTTTTCCATCGTACTCCTCAACAAATGCCTTGAACTTTTGGTGACCTGATATCTTCAATGTGGTTTTACCGTCTAGGTGAATGAAGCGTTCGCTCCTCAAGCCCTAGCCGTTCAACGCGAGCTCGGAATCCCAATGGACAAGCTGAATTTGAATGGTGGTGCTATTGCTCTTGGTCATCCTCTAGGCGCATCGGGAGCACGAATCAGTGTTCATCTAGTACACGAGTTGAAGTAGGTGTTCATTCACTTCTGAGCGCTGAAAACCTGAGAGCTGGCATTGAAAAGACTCCTTGTGTAGATGTGGAATCACCTGGAAGTAGGGGGTTTTCCGCTAAATCCCCAGGGGAGGGGAGAAGAAGCTTCGGAGCGGGTGAACCAACTCCAGGTACAGTTATTCCATAACAGTGACGTTGGTCCTGGTCTTGCACAAGGAGTCCTCCAAAGGTCACCTGCAAGGTTACTGGCGCCCATTTCCGTAGTAATAAATATAATTCTATAATTACTGAATGGAGCTGTTACAGGAGACGTAACGTGAAATACGCTATTGGGTCGGCTTGCATAGGAGGTGGACAAGGAGTTGCGGTTCTTTTTGAAAATGTTCACTAATTTTGTAGCACTTTGATAATTTAAATAAGAACGGTTTTATTGAATCAGTTTTCTGTATAGGAATGTAACGCTCATTAACGTCTGTATACTTGGATAACTTATACGTTTATTGAGCTCATTGAACTTTGGAAGCCTTCGCTGTCAGTTT